TGGCAGAGCCTGTAAACCCTTCCCAGCAATTCGGAAGGCTGAGGCAAGAGGCTTGAGAGTTCAAAGCATCCTCAGCAACTCAGCCAAGACTCTGTCTCTAAATTAAATAAATAAATAAATAAAATAAAAACAGATGGGGACTGGGGTTGTACCTCAGTGGTAGATCAGTTGCCTTGCATGCGTGAGGCACTGGGTTTGAATCTCAGCACCACATAAAAATAAATAAAGATATTGTGTCCATCTACAACTAAAAAAAAAAAAAAAGAATTTTTAAAAAGGCTGGAGATTGGCTCAGTGGTTAAGTGTTCCTGAGTTTAATCCCCAGTACAAAAATAAATAAATAAATAAACCACCACCTATGGCCATGCACAGTCCCACAAGCTCCAATACTACCTAAGTGAGTTTGCTGTGTTTGCCAGGACACAGAACTTCTCCATTACCCTTCCCCCAAGAGTGGGCAGCTGAGGGAGGAGCAGCCTACCTCCACAGAAGAGCAGGTCATGAAAGCTAGTTCAGGTCTTTGTCTTGGAGCTCAGTGCCAGGCCTGCAACTGTGAGACTGAGCAGATTAGAGACCAAGGCCCCTGTGTAGGCCTGAGCTTACAGACATGAACCAGCATCAGGCAGATACCTGCATGCCACCTGGGAGAGACTACATCATTCAGCCTATATCATCACCAGCCTCCCCAAAATTGTATCTGTCCTCTGGATGTGAGACTCAGATGTGACCCAGCTTAGTGTCAGTCTTGGGGTCCATTTCTACCACCAGTCACCCAGTCTCAGGCAGCACAGCTATTGTGAGGCCAGTACTTACAGATGACGCTCTAGAACTTCTTCAGCACCAGACACCTATGGGATGAACTACCACCAGCTTCAGTTTTGGAAGTGTGAGAACTGGGCATGATCCAGTTAAATACCAGCCTGGGTGGACAAGGGGCTGCCTTTGTTACTGGAGACAGGATCTTCTGGCTTGGAAAAAGGAATGAGACCAAGGCCAATATTGTGAGCACACAGAGGCAAGCCTTTAATTAGGGCTTCACCAAAGGTGGACAGCACTGATTAAGGAACTAGGCTGTTTCACCAAGGCAAGATGTGGAAACTTTTATTGGTTTTCTGGGGTGAGGCAAAGTCCAATAATTTCCAATAACCAGGGGCATGATTCCAAAAGATGTTTTTTCTTGCAAGAAACTAGAATACTGGGCCAACAGGAGGTTAAAGAAGAATAAAATAAAAAGGAAAAAAAATTACAGGGGCACACACCTGTAATTCCAGCAACTTGGGAGCCTGAGAAACAATTGTAAGTTCAAGGCCAGCCTGAGTAACTTAGCAAGACCAGTCTCAATATAAAAAGGGCTGGATATGTGCCTCAGTGGTAGAGTTCCCCTGGGTTCAATCCCCAGTACCAAAAACAAGAACAAAAACCAAGAAAAAAAATCATATATATATTTTGATAAATCATAAAACAAACACCAATATAAATACAGACATGATTTTTTAAAGTAGCATGTTGAATCTAGCAAAATGAAAAGGCTAATAGACCAATATGTGCAAATTTAATTTATTCCAGTAATGCATGTTGTTTTACCATCTGAAAATCAAAGAATGTATAGTTCATTTTTTTAACAGAATTAAGGGATTTTTTAAAGACCCTGATACATGCAGAAAAGGCACTGGATAAAATCCAATATCAATTTGTGATTTTTAAAAACATTTGACAATCTAGGAACAAAACAGAATTCCCTTAATTTGATAAAAGTTATCTATGAAAATTTAAAAGTAGCATTATATTTAATGGTGAGATGTTGAATACTCTTTCATACAGGAACAAGGAAAAGATATTCATTTTCATGACCTCTATTCATTAAATAAGACAAGAAAAATAAATAAAAGGTTTAGAAACCAGGTGAGAATTACTTGAGTGAGTTAAATTTATCTCACTAGCTATAAAGCTGATGTAAGAAAAAGATATGTACTAATCCAAAAATTAAAAATAAAAAGGTATGTACTAATCCAAAAATTAAAAATAAAAAAATTTACAAAGCAAAACACACCATGTATCTAGAAATAAATTAAACAAAGGCATTCAAGACCTCTACAATTAAACTGCAAAACACCTTCAGAAAAGTTAAAGACAACGTAGGTAAATGGATTGTTGCATTATGTTCATCAATTGAAAGATGCAATTCTGTAAAGATGTCAATTTTCCTTAGGTGATTCTATAAAATGGACCCAGAATATTTTTATAAAAATTAATAAATTCTAAAATTAGAATTTATTACTAGATTTCCAAAAACACTACAAAGCAATACAAATTAAGATAGTATGGTGCTGCTGCAAGGAAAGACAAACAAACCAAAAGACATAGATTGCCTACCTAAGCAAAGGGAAAACATGATCTAGTGGATAAATCAGTACACATACACCTGCATCCTACCTCACACCCTATCAAACAAAAAAATACTTGAAATGGATCACCGACCTGAATACAAGAAGTCAAACAATGAAGGGTCCAAAAGAAAACATAAAATATATTCAGTATCTTGGTCTAGGCAAATACTTCATAAAGAACACTCTACTTATTTTTATGCTCTGTAAAGACTGAGAGCAATTTTTAGCAATCTAAAAGACATATGGCATCTAACATTCTAAAAGGATTTCTAGGAACTAACAAACACTGGGTAAGTTCCCAGACTTTGTATTTCCCGAAGTCAGCATAAGGTGCAAGCTTACAATATTGCCCCTATTTTGAGCCCCCACCTGCTCACAGCTGCCTCTCTCTCCTCTCCATGTGCATCATAACTGCCAGGGCTCTATTATGATTTAGGGGTGCAAATTCTAACCTCACTTTCTCAATGTGAAACTGGGAGCTGGTCCTAAACAAATCAGAATATTAACATTCCCCTGGCCATGGTGAACAAAATAAGCCATTAATCAGATTCCATTTTGATAATTATATTGGAACTGTTCAAAAAAGATGTCACTCTTCTCCCTGAAGCATTATCTTGGGAAGAAAGCAGCACAGAACTTCTGAAGCCTACTGTGAAGAAAACATCCCAGCTGGAAGAAAAGACAATGCAAAAGGATGCACAGCCAAGACATGGAGACAGACAGATTCACATCTTTTAGCCTCAGGATCCAGATTGAAGCTTAGTTATAGCCAAGGACTTTTTAGCAGCAAGGAAACACTTCAAAAGAAAAAAGGAAATAAAAATGGGTGAAATACTTCAAAAGGTAGGCTAATAAAGATATCCAAATAACCAATAAGCACACCAAAAAGTACTCAAAATCATGACATATCAGGAAAATGCATATTTCAACAACAACAAAAAAAAAAAAACATATCACCACACACTCTGCTGAAGAGCTAAAGTTAGAAAGTGTGGGCCCAGTATGCAGAATAGCCAACACTCACATGCACTGTTGGGGACTTACTGGTGGAACCAACATTTTTGAAAATCTAAAGTATCTACCAAAACTACACTTGAAGTCTACCCTATCATTCAGTAATTGCATTCCCCACATATAGCATATACCAAGAGAAATAAGAGCAACCAAGTGACAAACCAGACATTATGTTGAGTAAAAGAAGCCAAACATGTAACAGTAATGTTGTAGTTTTAACATTTATTTGAGAAGTCAGAAAAAGCACACCAAATCAAGCATAATAAGAGTCAAAATCCAATTTCCTCTGTGGAGTGATTATTGAGAAAGGAGATGAATGAACTTCCTGGAATCCTGGAAATGTGTCCACCAGGATGTATACATCTATGTGAAATTACATCAAGCTGTACACAGCTTGCACATTAATGTATGTATACCTTGATAAACAGTAAAAAGTGATTAAGGGAAATGGAATAGTTATGCTTTTAAGAGATAAAATATAATTTTTAAAAATATTTTTAGTTGTTAATAGACCATCATTTTATTCATTTATTTATATGCCATGCTGAGAATCGAACACAGTGCCTCATACATGCTAGGCAAATGCTCTACCACTGAGCCACAACACCACCCCTTAAAAAAAAATGTTTTAAAAAAGGGGGAGGAGGTAGCAAAATGTACCTGAAACAGCTCATAGCATTCCTCTTCTCACATAAAGGCAGTAAAATCTTCCCTGTCTGAAGGTATCAAATATAAATCCTCCTCTACCAAAATAGGATGACACCTATCTGAGGCTTGCCTCAATTACAGTCAGGATAACTTCATTAGCCACAGCTCTACTCACTTTTGGGACCACGGTAGGCTTGTATAGACATCAATCCCATAAGCAGAGTGAAGGATGGGACTGGACTGTGAGCATGATGACAATCCTTCTGCAAACTGGTCAACTCTAACAGGGTAGTGAAAGTGCCAGAGGAACTGCAATGAGAAGCAAAAATGCCAAAATGGCAACACCAGAGCTTGCCAAAGAAATCTAAGTTGTGTTTGGCCAGGATACAGGAGTTAATGGAGATGTTTGTGGAAGTGCAGCCCCTGAGGAGACTGAGGTCAAGCACTTAACATTCAGTTTTGAGCAAGTATTGATCAGGGCGTTCAATACTCAGAAAAATGAGTTGAAAACTGGGGCCCACAAGGTCCCTACTCATCTGTCTACCTATATTGTGGTCCTAATAAGCAGGCAATTGTAGCTCCTTCCCTAAAGCCTTTCAAACTTCTTGCAAAGTTATTTTAGAAAACTATCACCTAGGATTAGAAGTGAATAAGGGAAATGTAGTCCCCAGCCATATCCAAATTAATATAACACACTTTATTAACTTAAAACATTAGATCAAAATTCCAGCCATGAGGGCTGGGGTTGTGGCTCAGTAGTCGAGTGCTTTCCTAGCGTGTATGAGACACTGGGTTCGATTCTCAGCACCACATATAAATAAATAAAATAAAGATCCATCAACAACTTAAAAAATTTAAATTAAAAAAGATTCCAGTCATGAACAAACTTAAAGAATAAAACACAAAACAGCAATCAGATGAGACTATACTCTTTCAAGGCCTTTGTACTAATTAATTTCTACTAAAACTTTTTATTACACATGAAAAGCTTTTGATAGTAAACACTGATATTCTCAAAAACAGTTGGAACTCTTAGTTTAAAGGGAAGGGGGGAATTATTGGGTAGGCAACTTTCAGTATCCAGACAAAGGCAAAGACGAAAACGAAGACGACGAAGAAGAAGATGAAGAAAATGATGCCCATGCTGTGAGTTCAAACTGTAACAAAAAAAAACCCACCATTTTCCTGCCTGCAAAAAAAAAAAAATGCACTTGAGCCAGACTCAATGATATATACCTGCACTCCCAAACTTAGGAGGCTAAGGCAAAAGTCCAGGAGTTATAGGCCTGGACAGCATACCCAGACCCTGTCTCAGAGGAGAAGCATACACACACGTACACACACAATCTCCCAAGAGTCCAAAAGACTTTGTAATGGAAATAACATTTACATCTCAGCTAAAGAAACTCACCTCATACTCAAAAGTATGTCATAAAAGCTGAAAAGGGAAACATATAACCTTAAATCTTCCTATTAGAAAACATTGGAAATCAATGACCCTCTAGAAGTCCACTTTAATGAGGCACTGATCTTCTTTTCTAGCTCAAATTGTGAATTTTCTTATACAAGTTATGTTCAAAATCAAAAGGGTTTACCATATAGCTTACAAACATAGGGTTTCCCTCAGTTGTCCTCAACTCTTGAAAAGAATGAGTGATAATCTACTTTCTCACATTTATAGTGTCTCTACAGTATGAAACTTCACAAAATAAGACTTCACAAATTGCATTAGTTCAGAAAAAGCCTTGCAGAGATTCCCTTACTCCTTACATTTATATGTTGTCCCTTGTGTGAATTTTCACGTGTCTTCGAAAGTAGGCTGGACAAATAAAGGCTTTCCCACATTCCTTACATTCATATGGTTTCTCTCCAGTATGGCTTCTCACATGTCTCCGAAAGGATGAGGGACAACTGAAAGCTTTTCCACACTTCAGACATTCAAAGGGTTTTTCTCCAGTGTGCATTCTTGCATGTACAGTAAGGTATGAAGAATGTCGAAATGCCTTTCCACATTCCTTACATTCATAGGGTTTTTCCCCAGTGTGGGTTCTCATGTGGATACTAAGGGCTGAGAAATAAATAAAGGCTTTCCCACATTTTTTACATTCATAAGGTTTCTCTCCAGTGTGAGTTCTTCTATGTACTGTAAGATGGGAAGAACTAATGAAGGCTTTCCCACATTCCTTACACTCATAAGGCTTTTCTCCACTGTGAGTTCTTAGGTGTTCAGTGAGGGATGAGGAACGACTAAAGGCCTTCCCACACTCCTTGCATTCATATTGCACCTTACCATTGTGATCTCTCACATGTGCTTTAAAGGATGAGGGACAACTGAAGGCCTTCCCACATTCCTTACATTCATAGGGTTTCTCTCTACTTTGATTTTTCACATGTGTGTTCAGGGAAGTGGGAAGATAGAAGGCTTTTCCACATTCCAGACATTCATAAGGTTTCTCTCCAGTGTGTTTTCTCATGTGGATACTTAAGGAGGAGGGGCAATTGTAGGCTTTCCCACATTCCTCACATTTATAGGGTTTCTCTCCGGTGTGTGTCCTCACATGTACAGTGAGTTTTGAGGATTCACTGAAGGCCTTCCCACACTCTTTACATTCATAAGGCTTCTCTCCTGTGTGAATTCTTATATGTATTATAAGATGAGAGGAAGAGCTAAAAGCCTTCCCACATTCCTTACATTCATATGGCTTATCTCCACTATGAATTCTTTTATGTTTGGAGAGTGATGAGGAACAACTAAAGGCCTTCCCACATTCCTTACATTCATAGGGCTTATCTCCACTGTGAATTCTTTTGTGTTCTGTGAGGTATGAAGAGCTACTGAAGGTTTTCCCACATTCCTTACATTCATAGTTTGCCTTTTCACTATGAATTTTCATATGTGCTCTGAACATGGAGGAACAACTGAAGGCCTTTATACATTCCTTACATTCATATGGTTTTTCTTCAGTAGGAGTTTTCATATGCTTCTTAAAACAAGCAAGAAAATGGAAGGCTTTCCCACATTCCTTACACTGATAGGGTTTGTTTCCAGCATGAGATCTGGTGTGATTCTTAAGTGATGAATGAAACAGGAAGGACTTTCCACACTCACAGCATTCAAAGGATTTAACTTCAGTAGTTCTCTGGAGCATAAGATTTGAAATTTGTCCACATTGATTTTCTTCATTGTATTCACAGATGTTCTCTAACACATGACTTTTAAAAATAAAAGATTATTAGTAATAAAATTTACCATTTTCAGTGAATATGTATGCTTTCTGCCCCATCAACTTATAAGCTAAAAGTTCTCAAGAAGGCTCTTCCACAGCCAACATTGTCACTGAGCTTTTGACTTGTATGATTTTTCTGATAAATCTGTCAAACCAATCTATGTGTCAAACCTTCAATATCTCAGTATAATTTGTAGGAAAAACTATCTAGACAAAATTCTTTGTGAAAGTACAATTTTTTTTTATTTTGAATTTGAATCGTTTTATTTCTTTTTTAATTTTATTTTTTATTTGCATGTATTCCATTAGTTATATATGATAGCAGAATGCATTTTGATACATCATACATAAATGGAGTATAATTTCTCATTCTTCTGGTTATACAGGATGTAGAGTTACACTGGTCATGTAATCATATATGCATGTGGGATAATAATGTCCAATTCATTCTACTATTATTCCCACACCCCCTCCCACCCCTCACTCTCCTCTTTCTAATCCAAAGTACCTCTATTCTTCCCAATCCACCCCCCATTGTGAATTAGCATCCACCTATTAAAGAAAACACTTGGCCTTTGGTTCTTTGCACCAGCTTCATCCATTTACTGGCAAATGTTATGATTTCATTCTTATGAAAGCATAATTTTTGACCTAGGTTTATGTTGAAAATATGTTTCTTTTTAAGAAATACTTTTTAGTTATAGATGGATGCAATATCTTTATTTCGTTTACTCATTTTTATGTGATGCTGAGGATCAAACCCAGTGCCTCACATGTGGGAGGCAAGCACTCTGCCTGCCACTGAGCCACAACCCCAGCCCCAAAATATGTTTCTTAAATCTCAAAATTGTTTCCTGATGCACTACCTTCTCTTATATGAAGGGCACTCACCTTAAACCTTTCTCATGGGTTTTGTTCCAATCATCCACACCATGGGAGTCCTGGTTTTCATGTAAAATAGAGAAGCAGGAACCATTTCTTTTGAACCTCTCTATTTTCTGTTCATTGGATATTTTTTCTCCATTGTTGTCTTGAAAAGCAACTAATTCCTTAGTATTAAGTAGAGACTCAAACCCTGAAACAAAAAAATAAAAGAAAATAAAGTTACCTATGAGCAAAGGACTTTGAGCAGTGCAGCTGTTTCAGGACTTCATTATTAACAGGCACAAGGATCAAAAGTAAAACAGTTCACTAAAAAATATTTCCATGAAACCATAGTATGGTAACATTACCATAGTATGGTAATACATGCTTGTAATCTCAGCTACTTGGGAGGCTGAGATAGGAGGTTCACAAGTTCAAGGACAGCCTCAATAACTTAGACCCAGTCTCAAAATTAAAAAGGGTATGGGATATAGCTCAGTGGTAAAGCACTCCTGGGTTCCCCAGTGCTGAAAAATAAAAAATAGTTCTATGAAGAATGAAAGTGATGGTAACATGACCAGTAGAAATTATTGGGACCAGAGACATGAAAAATTGGGCTTCATATGAATCAAAATGCATTCTGCTATCATGTATAACAAAGTAGAACAAATAAATAAATAAATAATTTTTTAAAAAAGAGTTTACGTTAAAATTTTTCTGTTAACTTAATATTTCATATTAGTATAGAAAATATATTAAAAATTTTCATTAATAATTTTTTAAAAATTATTAGGCGAGGAAAATAGAAAGGATAAAATACACATACCAAATACAAACTTTAAAAAAGCAAATATGGAGATCTTTGACAAGAACAAGGAAAGTATGAGAGGACAGATAAACAGTCAAAATAGTACTCTGAGGCATCTGTGGATAATGAGCCTCCTCAGACAAAACAAACTTTTGCTTTATTTCTATTTTATTTTTTTCTCTACCCAGGCCAGTTTCTCCCAGGGATTCTTGCCTTCCTGGTGCTGCTCCATACAGATGCCCTGGATATGTTCTGTCTTCACTGTCTGCAGTTCCTCCTCTTGTTCCCACTTGGAGATCAGATTGGGAGTGAGTAGTGGGTACCCTGCACATGAGGAAAGGAATATCATGAGGGAAAGCAATGAAGAATCACAAATATCTTTCCATAAGATTGGGTCAAACTTTGGTCTTCTAATACTCTAAAGACAGAGAAGGATGAGTTTAACTGAAAAAAATGTCAAATCCATTGAAGAAGAAAAAAAGGCAAAGGAGGGAGGGAGAAGAAGGAAGAAAGAAAAGAAAAATAGAGAAGATAAAAGAAAAAGCTGAGATGTGGATGTGGGGGAAAAGGCAACCTCTAATGTGAAGAATTGATCTAATCAGATATGGTGACACAAGCCTATAATCCCAGGGTGGGATTGGGAGGCTGGAGGATCATGAAGTCAAGGCCAACCTCAGCAACTTAGCAAGATCCTGTTTCAAAGCAAAGAAAAACAAAATTTTAAAGGATTGGGGATGTAGCTCCTGGTAAAGTGCCCCTAGGTGTTCAATTCCCAGCACAAAAAAAGACAAAGAAAAAAACACTGATCTGGGCTGGGATTGTAGTTCAGTGGTAGAGCACTTGCCTAGCATGTGCAAGGTGCTGAGATTGATCCTCAGCACCACATAAAAATAAATAAATAAATAAAGGTATAAAAAATTATTTAAAAAAAAAAAGAAAGATTGACCTACATTCACAGTGGAACCTCAATATTATTATAAGCTGATCTGACACAGCCATAATATATTAAAAAAATATTTTTTTAGTTATAGTTGGACACAATACCTTTATTTTATCAGGTTGAACAGGGTTTCACCAAAAGTCATGTCCAAATATATCAATGGAACAGAATAGAGAGCACAGACACAGATCTACATAAGTAAAATTGGCCCTCTATATCTGTGAATTCAAGCAACCATGGATAGAAATTACAATAGGAAAAAATTACATTTGTCTTAAACATGTATTTTTTTGTGCTTATGTCCAAATCAATACAGTACAAAAGTAATTATGAATAAGATAGGATAGATAGTAAAACAGGCAGACCGTTAAGAAAATGCACTCCCACACACCAAAAAAAAAAAAAGAGAGAGAGAGAGAGAGAGAGAGAGAGAGAGAAAGACTTTAAATGAAGAGGCTATTTCACAAAACTAACCTATAGAAAACATTCCAAACATTACAGCCAACTTCTTTGTCCCGGGTGGCAGGAAAAAGGAGGTAGAGCCGACCTGAGTGAAGACTACAGACTCAAGGCCTAACTAATCAGAATGTCACAGACCAAACCAAGAGCCTTGGCACTTTTCCAGTACTTGTTTAGCATAGGTGTTGACCAATAGTATTGGCACTTTTTCAAGACATGATTAGCATAGATACTGACCAACACCCTTAGTATCTTTCCAAGACCTGATTAGCACAGATATTGATGAATGCCTCATCCAGTAGCTATTTAAGTCCCTAGACTAGTACACTTAAGTGGAAACCTACTCTCAGGTTCCCCTCTCAGCCCCTGAGAGTTCTGCTTCTTTTCTTTTCAGTTATATAAATACACCTTCACTCTCAAATTCTGTTGTCTGTGGATTTGTCTTCAAATCTGTGAATAAGAACCTGGAAAAAAAATGGCAGCCAGCTGCTGAGGTCTGCCATTGACAGCTACAACACACTGCTCAGTAATAGTGAAGAAGAGTCAGGTTCTGCCAGCTCTGACCCATAGAGCTGACCAGACAGGCATTTCCCTGCTGTGATTAGTTGCAATACTAAAATGGGCTGGGCTCTCTTAGCCGCAGAGGCATGTAACTTATGCAGACCTACAGACCAGCAGAGTGGAGAATCTGGTTTCATTTCAAACTCCAGTTTCAATTACATAGCACTTACATTTTGTCAGGCACTAAACATAATCAAGAGATGATGTAAAGTATATGAGAGCTTAGGCTGTATACCAGGGAATTTTAATTAAGAGATTTTGACCATCCACAGATGTAGGTCTCTGGGAAGATACTAGTATCAAATCCCTACAGACCAACCAAGAACTATGTAGTCAACTGACTTTTGACAAAGAATTGACAGCAACACAATAGAGAAAAGATAGCCTTTTCCACAAATGCTGTTAGAACACTGGACATACCCACATAAAATAATGAATCTATGCCCTTCACAAACATTAATTTAAGATGGATCATAGATCTAAATGTAAAACATAAAACTAGAAAAATTGTACAAGATAGAAGGAGAAAATCTAGATGACTTTGGATTTGGCTATGACTTTTTTGATACTATATCAAAGGTATGATCGATGAGAAAGAGATTGATACAATACACCCCATTAAAATTAAAATTCCTGCTCTGTGAAAGATAATATCTAGAGAAAGAAAAGATAAGCTATGCCTAAAAGAAGACATTTGCAAGAAATTTCTCTGGTAAGAGACTGTTTCACAGAGATTTATCTGATAAGAAACTGTTTTCCTGTTCTTTACACAAAGAATGCTTTATATATATATTTCTTAGTTGCACACAATACCTTTTTTTGTTTATTTATTTTTAATGTGGTTCTGGGGATCGAATCAGGGCCTCGCACGTGTGAAGCAAGCGCTCTACCACTGAGCAACAACCCCAGCCCAGAATGCTTTTTTTTACATATTTTTATTAGTGTATTATCCCATACATAATATTGCAAATCATTTTGACACAACCATACATGCATGGAATTAATGTGTTCCATTTCAATTCCCAGTACTTCTCCTTTCCTTTCCCTCCTTCCTCCCCCTATCCCCTTCTCTCCTCTACTGGTCTTCCTTCTATTTACCTATTGTTTTAATTCCTGCTTTATAGATACACACAATAGTGAAAGTCACTGTGGTATATTCCTATATGTGCACTTTGCAGTCCCCTCTTTCCCTCTTTCTCCTTCCTTCCCATCTGCCCCCTACCTATCCTACCCTTTTGATTTTCATGGGCTCCCTCTGCCTGTTTCCCTCTTATTTTGCTCAAGCTTCCATACACAAGAGAAAACATTGGACCCTTGGCTTTCTGAATATGGCTTATTTCATTTAACATGATATTTTCCATTTCCATCTATTTACCAGCAAATGCCATAATTTCATTCTTCTTTATGGCAGAATAAAAACCCATGTGTCGAATGCTGCTGCCTCTGATTCTACTGCTGCCAGCCTGAGGTCACCTGGAGGTCTTCTTTCTGGGCTGCTACAGAAGCCACTGCTGTGCCCGCAGGTCTCTTTTCTGGGCACTGCCTGGTTACCCCTGACTCGATTCTGATGCTACCTCCATGGTCACTGCCACTGAACTGGAAGTCTCCTGTTACTCAACCGCCAACTGCACACTACCGCCATTGCTGCTGCCTCTGATTTCCCTGCTGCTAGACTGAGATCACCTGGAGGTGTTCTTTCTGGGTGCTGCCACAGAAGAAACTGTGGATGCAACTGAAGCCCACATTGCTGCTGACCCCTGGAGATCACCTGGTGACGCTGCCCTCACAGCTGCAGTGGTAACTGCCAATGCAGCCACCACTACTGCTGCTACCACGGCCTAGAGGACTGCTGCAGGGGAGATTCCAGGTTTGGTTGCATGTGGCTGCACCCATTTTGGGATACCAGCCAAGGCCTGAGACCTGGGTGCCAGCAGGTTTACCACAACAAGATCCTCTGTCTGGGGACTCCAATCAGGACCTGAAGGTCCAGTGTTGGGGTACTGTGGGTTTGGAGGACCCTGGGGTTTTCCTGCTGAGAGTGCTAGTTGCCTGGGTATTGCTGCTGCATCTCTTGCTGTTGCTCGTTTGCATGAGTGTGTTCCTGGTGGTCTCTCTGCAAGTAGGAGCAGCATTGAGATCTTGGGACTACAAATGGCAAAGCCTGAGGTATTTGAAACCCATATTTATAGGCTAGAGTCTAGGTTTGCAAGGTCTGATCTGGGTTTGGTGATCCTGAGAGACGTCAGAGTCAGAGCTGACAAACTGTTGAACACTGACAGAGATAGTTCGACTTTCCAGCAAGATTTATTTTATTTTTTGATTCACTGATCTCTCTACCATATTTGGAAAGGTGCCTTTTATGCTATTTTCTTTCCAACTTCTCTCCAATCAACAGCCAATCTCTGTCAGCTCCTCTTCCACTCTTCCTGTGAATTTTTACTTCTAGCTTCTCTCTTCCTCCCTCACAAATATTGCATATTACACTACTCTGTTCTCTCATCCACCCTTTGAAATTGTAAACCATTTTAACAAAATTTCTGTTTATACTATAGTAGTTATTAAATTCATCATTTTGGTTTAATGCGAGAAAGCAGTAGTTGCCTTAGTGGGAGCTATTAGGTTTAAGGCTACATATTATATGTTAAGTAATATTGATATTGGTCTCACCATTAAAGTGAAGCTCTGGAAACCTTCAGACACCTAGACACTATAAGTCTACAGGGTAGATTTTATGCTGCCTTAGATCCATAAAATTTTTACCCACCAGTTTGTGGTACTTGTTCATAGAGGGCCTAAGAAACCAATATAATCTACCCCATAGACTCATCTCTAAATCATCCCAAAAGCACAAATTCTCTAATAGGTACTTTCTAACACCCTCTTACTAAAATGCCCCTCGACTCCCCATGGGTATGTTCTCCCATGACTGCAAAATAAACCCTGCTTGTTTAACTTACAGGTGTGCTCCTGGTGGTCTCTGGGTAAAGGCATTCACAGCAGTAGAATCTTCAAAGGTCTCAAATCACAAACTCTCCCTGTGCCCCAGAGAAGACCCTCAATGCCCACACATTCAACACTTAATAAGCCTCAAGGCTTTCAACCACAAAGAAAAAGAAAAAAACAAGTTTAATATGCCCGTGTTCATTTTCATGAAGAAGCCTCCAGATTGTAAGCACCCTGTGGTCAGTGACCACGTTTGTCTTATTTGCCAAGCACTGACACTCCTCGGCACATATCCTGGAACAAGGTCAACTAGTAGATAAAATTGTTTTCTAAACCACTACATGAACCAACGTTGCCAATCTTACCTAGTGAGACCAGGTTCTGGAAGGTTTCCAGCATCACATCTCTGTAGAGGCTCCTCTGAGCAAGATCCAGCAAAGCCCACTCCTGCTGGGTAAAGTCCACAGCCACATCCTCAAAGGTCACCAAGTCCTAAAAAATGCCACAAATTCTGTTTAGAAAGGTACAATTCCTCCAGTGTGTGTGAGATGGTGGGTGAGGCTGACAGCACTGGGAACCTGAGAATCAATTCAGGGGAGGTTCAGAAGATTCTGTGGTCTCCCCAAGTCTATGGCAGGACTCAGTCAGCAGATCTCTTTCCCTTTCTACTCACACATACTTAGTGACTGAATAAATCCTGTCTAAAGCCAAAATACTTCTAAAATACTACATTAGTCTCTTTGCAGTTGATGGTAATGAAATAAGAAAAAAAATCAAAGTTATTTTCCTTCGAACCTGCAAAGAACACTGGATATTAGGTATGTGGGTAATTTTCCACACACATCAAGCAGTTCTCCAACAGACACTAGCTAGGTTTCCTGTTATTCAATAACATTCTTACACTATCTACATGGACAGCTTCATCCCACAGGTTGAGGGCTCAGTCCCACAAAACTTCCCCATACTTCAAACAACATAACAACTAGTACATTGTCATTTATACTTCTGACCAAATGGCTACATCTCAGGGTCCCCACTGTACCCTCCTTGAGTTGGGTAATATGCTGGGATGGCTTACAGAATCTAAGCAAACATTTCCTTGGGATTATAGTTTGTTATAAATACAGAGAACTATCCAGGCATAGCAAGGTAGGAAAAGCTGCAGAACTTCCATGCCTATTGGGGAGCCTCGTACCAGGAACCTCTACATATTCAGCCATACAGAAGCTCCCTAAATTCATTCTTTTTGGGTTCTCACAGAGGCTTTACTAGAAAGCATGACTAATTTAAATTAGCAATTTAAATAATCAATTTAACCTTCAGTACCTTTCAACTTCAAGGTTAGTGGATAGGGCTGAAGAGTCAAGCATACCTTAGTTCTTCTGGACCAGCAGTCATCCTGAGGCTATCTGTCCTGGTCAACAGTCATCATACAAAGCTACTGTTATCAGTCCAGACATTTGAAGGGTTTTAGGAACTCTATGCCAGGATATGGGACCAAGACCACATATTGGACAATATCATATTATTCCTTATTCAGAAATTCTTCCTTATTCAAGAATAACTTCACCTACTACTTTATTCCTATTAAGGCACTGAGCACAACATCAAACTCAGGTTTAAATCTTGATGAGGTTTTAATGAATGAAAACACAGAGAGTGAATGGGAACTTTTCCTTTTTTCCCCTCTCACAATCCTGAGAGGCCCAAGAGCCTGCACATCTTTCAAGTCAGGCCCACATCTGGCTCGGTTTTATAGTATTGTGGCCTGGGCTCACCAAACTATAGCACATGCACTTACTCTAGCCTATCACCTACTTATGTAAGTAAAGTTTTATTGCAATACAATAAAACATTTTTTATGTTCCTCTATGAATATTTTTTGTATTAAAATGACCATTTCCTTGTAATAGAAATTCTATGACCTTCAAAACCTAAAATACTTACCATGTGATACAAAAAAAAAAAAAAAAGAAGCAGATTGCTAACCTATGCTCTAAAATAGCAGCAGGATATCAAATGAAATAGAAATATTCTTTTAGAGCATTATACCTTTTACTTACCTGCATCATACTTTTCTGTAACCCAACACTTATTCTTTCTTCCTCCATGTCACCTTCATAAAGAAAAGTAAGACATTGAGAAGTTATAGGTAAGACAGAAGCTGACATGGGAATCCAACCCTTCAGAGAATTCCCATACTCATGAGCCTGGATATTGTAGCACATCCATTACCAGTGACAACTCAAAACACATACCATGACTCCTAAGTAAATACAAACTGAACTTGTGTGACACTGGAACAATCCTTTCTTCCCTAGAGATACAAAACAACACTCTTATCCTTGTTAATGATACAAAAGAGGTTAATAGTAACATTTTATTAGTAAATTAACTCAAGTCTGAAGAACATCTGGCTGTCCATTTCCCCATGATAACAAAAAGCATAAAATGTATCAAGTGGTGCCTTCAATCCTAAAAATATATAATCCCTGACTCATATCTAAGAAAGCACTAATTTACTTAAACACTAGGCTTCTTGGGGCTCCTTGACCAACATTTTTACTTGTTTACCATTTTACACGATAATAGGCATTACTACAAAGCCCTGAACACTGCTGTCATCCCAACCCCACCCAATGGGCCCCACAAAACCTAATTTCTGAGAAAGAGAATCAACCTATTTGTTATGGTTTGAATATGGGATGTCTTTCTTTTTTTAAAAAATTCTCTGGTTTCTTTCTTTCTTTTTTTTAAGATAGAGTGAGAGAGAGAGGAAGAGAGAGAGAGAATTTTTTAATATTTATTTTTTAGTTTTGGGCGGACACAACATCTTTGTTTGTATGTGGTGCTGAGGATTGAACCTGGGCCGAACGCATGCCAGGTGAGCGCGCTACAGCTTGAGCAACATCCCCAGCCCTGGGATGTCTTTCAAAGCCTCGTGTGTTGAAGGCTTGGTCTCCAGTGCTGCAGTGTTCAGAGTTTGGACTTGGGAGAAGCGATTGGATTATAAGGGGTCTGACTTCATCAGTGGATTAATCCATTTTATGGATTAAGAGTTTGAATGGACTACTGGGAGGTAACAGGAACTACAAGAGGTAGAATCTAGAAGAGATGAGAAAGAGGAAAAGGAAGAAGTAGTGGAGGTGGTGGAGGTGGTGGTGGTGGTTGGTGGTGACGGTAGTGGTAGAAGAGGGGGAGGAGGAAGAAGGAAATTTCATTGTATCCAGTCATTAAAAGAATCATATTAAAACATGCACAAGGAAACAGAAGTTGCAAATAGTTTTACAGAAAGTTTCACAAAATAAGTAGGAAATTCATAATTCCAGTGTAGAGAGGGAAGATAATTATCTACTTCCAACACCAGAAGGGTACAACTAAAAAATATGCCAGATCACATACAAAGTACAAATAATACAAAAGTATTGATAACAGTTGAAAAATGAACAATAAGTATAAATCACAATTTAAGTTCATTTCATCCTAGGAATGACGGATGCTTAAAAACTGAATCACTAAAAAAAGGAAAAAAAGAATAAAACTGAATCACTGGGACTCAGTGGTACGGTGCCTTACTAGCGTTGAGTCCTTGGATTCAATCCCAGCGCCACAAGAATAAAATAAACAAAAATTGAATCACTGATTAATGAAATTCACAGTATTCATAGAAAGGTTATTTGACATATTCCCTTAGACACAAAGCAATGACTAATCTATTTCAGTGTACATTGCTAATAATAACTTAGGCCATTAGAAAGGATTAGATTTTATACGTTAAAAAATGCAAACATTCTATTTAATAGTGAAATACTGATTAATTTCCTCTGAAATCAGGAACAAGGCAAGAATGAAAATTATATGCTAATCTCCATTCAGCTGGGAGTCCTGGCAAGTGCAGTAATTAGAAACCAAAAAAAATGGAAAACACAAAGATTTAGGAGAAAAAAATTCAAACTGGCACATTTTCTGTGCAAAATTTAAAAGAATCTATAAATAAGTGACCAAGCTTTTTTTTTTTTTTTTTTCCTCCCTGCATTTTGCAGTACTAGGGATTGAAGCCAGGGGCACTCTACCACTGAAGTACACCCCCAGTCCTTCTAATTTTTTGTGTAGAGATAGGGCCTGCCTAAATTGCTCAGGCTGCCCTTGAACTTGAGATCAAGTTCTACCTCAGCCCCTAGTAGCTGGGATTACAGGCGTACACCACCGCGCCAGGCTAAAATGTATCACTTTATTAAGGATGAAATGCACTTGCCCAGGAGGCGGGTTAACAGTATTTTAAAATCAGCTCCCTCTTGTGTATCTGAATGCAATGTGTCAAACATGCCCCAGGCCCCCGGGGAACTCTCAGACGCGCGCTCGGCAGTGCGCGAGGCCCAGGGGCAGCGGGCCGAGCTCACCCCACGCCGGGTGTGTGCAGACCAGCAGACTCGCACGAGGCTCCGGACCCGGGACCCGGACGCAGGCGAGGCATCTGCTCTCGGCAGGGAGAGGTCGCGGGGCTCTCCAGCTCCGGCCTGCAGGAGATGCGCCCGCCGCTGGCGCAGCCCGGAGTCCCCGCTGCGGTCACCAGGACAAGCGCTGCGCCGGCGGAGCCGACAAGGCTCTGGGCCACGCGGCTGAAGGGGGCCCTGGGACGGCGGAGAAGCGGAAGCCAGCCTTCCGCCTCCCGCGGCCCATACCTGGATGGCGAGGGGCCAGGACGGATAGGATGCGGACTGAGGAAAGAATATATCTCAGACGCGGGCTGCAGAGTAAAGTGTCATGGCGGCCACAGGCACACAGTGACAGGGCAGCTACCTCGCGCGTGCGCAGACGCGCTCTTCTGCCGCCCGCTAACCACCTCCCCATCCTGAGAAACGCTCTGCGTAAGGGGCGGGGCTTCTGGAGCTGGGCGTGGCGCGGAGCGGCCCGCTCAGTCCATCAGCGCACGGAACGTGCTAATTTCTCCTGGGGTTGTAGGTAAAAAGAGAACCAGAACCATAGAGGAGGCTGGGGAGGGAACAGGCTAGGCCGGCGGAGTGGACTCAGGTGAGACCAGATCAAGGGGCGTGGCTTTTAATATTCCAGAGGTTGGGTCTAAGATGGGACCTGGTTGCCAAGCGAGACCACTGGAAGTTCCTAGAGGCGGGGCTAAGGTTAGAACCTGTCACACAGGTTCCCTGAGGCCTGGGAGTATCATGCTCATCAAATGCGTTAATACCCTTGCTAGAGCCCTGTCCACAGGCCATCATACTTAAAACTCTGAGTCTACCTACCTGTGCGATGAACTCTTTTCCATTGATTCAGTCCTTTAGGTCTTTACTTTTCCCTTTCATTGTTTTATTGATTCTTGCTCTGCTAGAGGAAAGCTATTGAAAAGTATTTAATTAGGTCCTTCTATCTGGAAACCTTGCTGAACCTTAATATCTGTAGTTCGTTATTTTGGACTTAAATATAAATAATATTTCCTGTGCATTTTTGTTATTATAATATTCATAAGTCATTTATTTTTCTTCTTGTTTATGCAGGGTCTCCTAACTATAAGTCAGATAAGAAATAAGATATTCTTGTCTTGGTTAATAATAATCACCAAGGTTCCCATGTTAGCTGTAGTTTGTGGCTTTTATCAAGTCCTGTTTTGAATCTGCTTTGTGAAGCCATTTTATCAGTAGTTTTGATAAATATTATACAATGTATATGAAACTATTAAGTTCATAATAGTTTACTCCAACTTGATTTATGATGTCATGTCTGTAAGAAACAGACTCTCCTGTCCAAACCTAAAGAAGAGATTAAGAAACAAAAGGCATAGCCAAAAAAAGCAAGGAATGTGTTTTTCCTGTCCCCCGAGGCCAGGTAGGGCTGAAGGCAGATTGCTTTTTAGCAAAGAAAGCATGTGGAGAATCAGTACAGTGAACTCATTTTATAGAATTATTCTCTGAACCTTGTGTTCCCACCATCTTCATCTATTTGTCCCCTTACACCTTACATCTAAATCTGTCTGTCCCCTTGATATAGGACAGATGTGGCTGGACACCAGAAATCAGGTTTATTTTAGCTGCAGCAGTCCAGAGGAGGCTAATGCCTAAAAAGCTTTGGACCCTGAATCTGAAAATTCTTTTAGACTTATACTCAGTGGGGTGGTTACATGTCACTGGGTGGGTACATAACAGTTACTCTTTGTCCCACATTTTTAGGCTAGACAGAGGTTTCACAAATTTTGTCTGCAAACCTGGCATTTATAAGAAAGAGGAAGCTACAAACCACAGAAATTTTTGCTGATATCCTATTGACACCCTTGGTAAAATTCTTTCTGACAAGGAAAAAAGCTTAATTGTGGCAATGGTCTTTTGGATGGGGGTAACTGGTCTGCTTCACCCTTACAAAGCAGTAAAGAAATTTTTTTTTTCAATGCTAGGGATCGGACCAATGTGTTGCACATGCTAGGCAAGTGTTCTACCACTAAGCTATACCCCTACCCCAGAACAAATTTTATTTAGGACAATTGCAGTAGGGGAGTAGAGACCTCAGTATAGAACTGGACTCAATTCTGAATACAGCACGGATAATTGGAAATTTATATGCCAAGGAACATGGTGGTGGTTCTAGGTAGACATGAGCAGTGGGAACAGGGTGTTTAAAGGGTTAATTCTATGTATAAGTGAAGAATATGGAAAACAACATCTCCCTAGAAAAGGGAAATGACAACCCCCAGGGCTGAGGGAGGACAATGGGTCCTGGGAGAGAAAAGGCAAACAAAGTGCCTGGTGCTCTCTCTGGTCTTTCCTCCTTTCCCAGTATCCTGGAGGGGAAGGCAAACAAATGGGCTCTGGGCTCTGGATTATTATCCCAGTAACAATGAGTTTCAAGCTTTTACAACTGTTTTCCTGACTTAGATTTTTAACCTGCACAACTAGTTTCCTGACTGTCCAACCAACATGTCCCAAGTCTCTCATGATTAAGTCACACAAAATCTTCTGCAATGATTAACTCTCATTAAGATCTATAAAAAACAGACCTCTTTTTTAACCAGTCACCATTTTCTCCCCTGAAAATGTGCCATTCCACTACTGCTTAATAAAGACAGCTTGCTGAGCTGAGGTCCACTCCTGTTTTCAGTTATTTTTGCTTACATGAGCCTACATGCTAACTCTCAGCATGTCTTTCTTTGAAACAATTCACACAAGGCCATTCTAACTCAGCTGTGTTTTAAAAATAATAACAGTATTTGGGCTGGGGCTGTGGCTCAGTGGTAAAGCTCTTGCCTAGCATGTGTGAGGCACTGGGTTCAATTCTCAGCCCCACATAAAAATAAACGTGAAAAATACAATCTGTTAATAAAAAGATAACAGTATTTACAATCCTTGACTAAGGAGCTTATTGTTTTCAGGATGTTCTGGTCCTTGTCCTGATAGGCTATGATTCTGCCTATCGGGGAACAGAGGGTTTTAAAAGAGGTGATTCAAAGGCTACTATCCACATTTACCCTGATGTAATTCATTTGTTAATTTGAGAGATAACCATTTCTTAAATCTTCTGGTTCCATCCCCAGAGATCTATTTACTTCATTCCTGTGATTGATGTGTGCTCAAGGACAGATAACTGGGCCTAGCATAGGAAAAGGGTAAACCTGTTTCCCCAGAAGTTAGGAAAGGGAAAAGGGAGAAGAGAAAAAAAAGAAAGTCAGCTTTAAAATAAGCCTCAGTGGAAAAGCAACAAGGGATATATTCAAAACATGACATGGACCACTGTCACATTCTTTTATCTAGGGCTGAAGAGCACAGGCCCCAAAACTCCTTTACTAATAAGAAAAAGAAAAGGAAATAAAAGAAAAAAGCACAAGTTACACTGATCTGGGATGGATCTGAAAGAGGATCTTTGACTTTACATAAACCAAAATGACCTAGAGTTTCTGTTCAGTAGAAACAGGCACAGTAGGGACTAAAAAATATGATACAATCCTACCATCAGTCAAAAGAGGTTGTGCTTAGTGATAAATCCAGCCTAATTTCCTCTTAAGACTGGGAACCATCTCGTCACATTTTATTTTGTGAGCCCATTTTGGCTTTACTATAAATTACTGTGATTTCTAAACTTGCTTGGAATGCCTGCCCGTGCCTTGAACTCACCCATGCCTGGATTTCCCTGACCTGATAGCAACCCTCTCTGAAACTTTAGTGGTGCTTCATAAATTCTGGCTTTCCCTGGCCAGATAATGACCCTCTTGGAAGCTGTAATGGCGCCTCATAAATTCTGATGTTGGGATCTAAATTTACTCCCTAAGTGCTGGACCATTAAACCTACTACCTACCTTTGTGTTATGCTTATAAAAACCTGTTATCTGTAAGTTCTCAAGACACCTCCCCTTTTTGCAACTTTCTGTGCTATAAAGCTACACTCCTAGAGAGCTGGATGGCTGTCTACTATTCCCACGGGTTTTGGCCTGTCAGAATTACAAGCTTGCTTTAATTTGATTTAAATTGGAGTTGATGGTCTTTTCTTTGCGTTGTGGTTTAACACTTAGGTGGGATTCTCTAGAAACCTTCCCTTCTGTCCTAATAAAGTGAGTTGTCACTCTCCTGAGAGAAAGCACTCTCCTGTGAGGGTATTTTCCCCTTCTTTCTCTTCTAATAAATTCTGCTATTCTTTTACTAAGTTTCACGTCTTGCTTGAAATCTTCTCGTGCAAAGACACTAAAGACAAAGAATACATGGATTTCCAGAAATATCTTATCTCAGATATCATCTTATCTCCTTAGCAGTTGGTTGTGTGGAGGGGAAGTCAGAAAGGAATATACTAAGAGGAAACTATCACAGATAAAAGGGGAATTTTGGTTCAACCAACCTAACAGATTTCTTGCTAAACATAGGCCAAAGTGATCACACATCACCAGAATGTTAAAAGCTAGGAACCTGATTAGATATTGTTAAATTAAGTTTGGCTTCAAACAGCCCCTGTGAAGTGGATTGTAGCTTGATGTGTAAGCAATTTGGATCTAACCTTAGCAACCAGAGTCTCATCGAATCACAGTAATCAAGTTTCAGCCAGCCACAGGCTGCCACCTGATCAGCCCATGCTCATGTAAAGCAGATGCTTCAACAACCAAGTGCATATAAGGCAAATGCTAACTGCAGCCAATCAGGTTGTTTCTGCATTTCACTTCCTTTTCTTCAGCTAAATAAAAATAAATAAATAAATATAGTGGGCAGACTTGGTTGGGGCACTCTGAATTATAACCTAATGTAATAGGTTCTTTTCTTGATCAATGTGGACCCAGTGAGCACAACCAGAGGTAATGAATAGAGAAAGCTGGCTCGTGTGGTGCATGCCTGTAATCCCAGTAGCTCAGGAGACTGAGGCAGGAGGATTGAAGTTCAAAGCCAGCCTCAGCAATTTAGTGAGATCCTAAGCAATTCAGCAAGACACTGTCTCTAAATAAAATATTTAAAAGGGTTGGGGTTGTGGCCAATGGTTAAGTGCCCCTGGGTTTAATCCCTAGTACCCAAAGAAAAAAATAAAGAAGGATTTGTTACCCTCAGTGAGGAATGAAAGCACTGTAGTTATTTGCAAAGCAATGCTCTCCCTGAGGAAAGGAAGTATGTGCATTTTATTTTGTGAACCTATATATATTTATACAGACAATCGCATGTAGGGGTGGGCACATTTCTGAGCATGCTCAACTGGAAGGAAGGATGGCAGACATTGGCGTTTCTGGGTCTACTCAGTTCAGTATTACAGTGAGCCAAGTTTACTGCTGGGTGCCTAAAAGAATGACTGACGTGGTCACCTTGGCTGGTTCTTAGTAAGTTTCTCCAGAAAGTTTTAGCTGAAACAAAAAAAGGACGCTTTGGTAAAAAGGTGCGAACCTC